GCATTACATGGTGGGGTTCAGGGCTGTCAGAGTAGCTGGAGAGAAGGAAAATTCTGGAAAGGAGAGAGCTGGAGTGAGGCATCCCTGAAATCCACATTAAATCTCTTTCAGTTCTTTGGCTGATACATTTGAACTCTGAATATCCAGAAGAGCTCCAAGAAATCCAGGGAAAGTAGCACTTAGGTGAAAGAATTGAGCAGAGATTTCAGCTGCTGCCAACGGCAGGGAGCAGAGGTTGGAACTTGAGACCCAAGTCCGAGGGGCTCGGCAAACCTGTTGGGCTTTCCATTGAAACCACAGAAGGACCACACTTCAGGAATAAAGAACAAATCCCAGGACTACGGGTTTTGTCTTAGATCTTAGGGAAAATAATGAAATAGAACCAATCTAACAAAGCATAAATTCAAGCCTCCCCAAGTTCAAGGCGATCTGCTAGCAACTTACTGCCTGCTAGAACAATCGATACTCTTCAGAGAAGAATCCTGCGTTTCTGCCATGTAGAATGTATAATATTCAGCACACAATTAAAATTTGGTGTATGTGAAAAAATTAGGAAAATGTGATTTTCAGACTCAGGAGAAAAATCAGTTAATGGAAAGTGTGAAATGAGTAAGAGTTTGAAATTCAGACAAGAACTTTACAGCCACTATGTTCCAAGGATTTAAAGGAAAAGAAACAGATAAATGGATATATGTATCTAAATATATACCCACAGAAGATCTGAAAAAATGTATACTATTTTAAAAAAGGAAAACACTGTATTAAAATTATAATACTCAATATATGCTGATAATAAAAGATGAATATAAGTCACATTGTCATTGCAGAGGTCAAAAATGACTTGAGTACTATGAATTTAATACAATGTCTTCCTTTCTTAAACTGTAAATACATTTTTGGCACCCTGTATATATATATGCTATGCACACAAATGGTACATACCACAAGTGAGGGTTAGTGAATTTAATAAAGGATTGATAAAATTATTCAGTATTTAGAATAAAGAGGTAAAAATTGAAATACTGAAAGAACTTCAGTCACCTATGGGACACCATCAGGCAGCATAATGATAAACATGTAATTGGAGTCCCAGGAGAGGAAAGGAAGAGAGAGAATGTGGCAGAGACCAATGTTGAAGAAACAGTAGATGAAAATTCCCCACATTTGGTGAAAACCTTACAGATCAACTTACAGATCCCAGAAATTCGGCAAACCCCACACAGGATACATCCAAAAAGAACCACATCCAGGAAATCATAGTTAAATTACTGAAAATCAAAGGAAAAGAGAAAATCTTCAAAGAACCCAGAGGAAAGGGTTATGTGTAAGGGACCGTCCATAAGAATTACTGCTGACCTCTAATCAGAAACAAGGCAGGCCAGACTTGGCAATGACTGACATCAGTAAAGGGCTGAATGAAAAATATGTATCAACCAACAATTCTGTGTCAGTTAACTATTATTCAAACACAAAAATCAAACTAAGATATTTGCAAATAAGCAGAATCTGAGAGATAATCTTGTTGCCAGGAAACGCTCACCCTAAAAAATGCTTGAGGAAAAGACCCACTTGGGAACTCAGCCCTACAGAAAAAAATGAAGGGTCCCAGAAATGGTAAAACTGGGTCAATATAAAAAACTTAATTTTTTTTCTAGTTTCACTGGAAGATGACAGATTGTTTAAGGTAAATTTGATAAGACTGTATGTGATTATGGGTCTTACAATATATGTAGACATAAAATGTATCAAAATAGTAGCACAAATGAGGGAGGGAATTGGAAAAGTTGCAAGTTTTTAGTTTAGGGGAAGTGGCATTAGGTTTACTCTCAAGTTAAAGAGGCATATTAAAATAATTAGTTAAAAAGTCAAGAGAGGAAAGGAGGTGCCTATGGCTCAAAGGAGTAGGGCGCTGGCTCCATATGCCAGAGCTGGTGGGCTCAAACCCGGCCCCGGCCAAAAACTGCAAAAAAAAAAAATCAATTAACAAAAAGAAGACAGGAGAGACAGAAGGACGAAAATGGAGAGTATTCCCAGCTCCACAAGACTGAGGCAGGAGGATCACTTGTGCCGAGGAGTTCGAAGTTGCAGGGAGTTAAGATCATGCCACTGCACTCCAGCCAGAGCAATAGAGCAAGACTCTGTCTCTAAGCCCCCCAACTCACCAAATAACTACCACCCCAAACCTCCCGAGAGCGTACAGATAGAAAACAGAACCATACTCACAACAAAACGAAACTTGAAAACCATACGTTAAGAGACATAGCTGAATACAGAGGAATATATGGCATGGATTCTATGAATTAAAAAAACCCAACATAGGTGAAAACTAATCTATAGTGATAGATATCAGGATATTGGGGTAGACTGCCTGGGAAAAGGCAGGAGAGAACTTTCTGGAGTGAAAGGATTTGTACCTTGATTGAGATGGTAGCTTACCGGGAGTATATATCTATCAAAAATTCACAGAACTGTATATCTAAAACTTGTGCATTTCACTATATGGATTTTTTACATTAATTTTTAAGTCTTCAAACTCCTGAGAAGCCTCCGGTTATAAGCTTTGACCAACAGAGGGCGCCCTGAGTCCACCAAACGCTCAGGGGAGCCTCGGGCTACTCCGGGATGCAAATGAGGCCGGCTCCGGGCTCTTGGGTCCCTAAACCGTGGATCGCGAAGCTCCCCTGCACGTCCCCCGGACACCCTGTGTTCCCCACCCGCGGCTTCACCAGTTCGCCCATTTCACCGGCCATACGCCGCTTTTTGTCCGAGAAACGGCACGTAGCTAAAGCCAGCGTTATTTTCGCAGCACCTACGCAGAATACCGATGCGGGGCGGGCGGGGAGCGGGCGTGGGCTGGAGGCGGACTCGCCACCCGAAGGTCCTCTATGGATAGGGTCGTTTTTAAATTGGAAGTAGGCACGTAATGGAAACTTCCACACTGTTCTCCACATCTTCCTTTTGACCTTTTTACCTCGCTTTGGCGGCTGTGAAATATTCCCACGCAGGGGCTGCGGGGTGGGGGGGCATCTCAGGGGAGGCACAGAAATTTTCCCCGAGGAAGGCAGCGTGGGGGGCGTCGCCCCGGGGTTCCAGCGCAACAAATCGTCTTCTGGCCCTCTCCTGCCGCGTTCGTATTTCAGAAGGACGCCGGCGACCGGAAAACCCTAACCGTCCTTGGCGCCCGCGCCCACCCCCAGGCCGGGTCTCTCCCGGGCGCGGAGATGCCATTACACCTCACGTGATCCCAAGCCGAGCCAGTCTTTCCAGCGGCGTCTCGCGGGGTGTTAATTAAAGGTCACAACAAAACAGACCTACCGGCTCACCAGAAGAAATGTCCTCCCGGGAAATGAAAAATGACACCCCGGAGCAGCCACGTGTGGAGCCAGGCAGATGCCGGCGTCCTGCGCTCCCGGGCGCAGCGCTGGGGGCCTGTGGGTGGGGGTAGCACGGGGGGCGAATGACTAGGTGCTCTGGAGACCCCGCGGGCCCCAGCGCGTAAGGAAAAGAATGGAGGTGGGGCGAGGGGACCGACTGCCCGAAAGGAGAGGCCAAGGCCAGCTCGCGCCACACCCCCTCGCCAGGCCCATGCCGTCTGCGCCGCGCGTGTGCAGCGCGGCGAATCCCTCAGTTTCCCTCTCCTCGCAGCGGCCGGCTGAGTCCCCGGGCTCACCTGTCCCAGTCCCGGCGGCTTAGCACGTCACAGATGGGGGATCGGGAAGGCGAGCGGGGGCAAAGGCCCCCAGTCCTCCAGCTGTGGCCGGGGAGAGGGGCCCCCCGCCCGGCGCTAGGTTGGTAGGGCAATTCCAGAAAAGGTTTGCAGGGCAGGTCTCGGAGAACAAAGGGCGGGGGGAGGACCCGGCATGTTTGTGGACTTGTTTGTGACTCAATCCCTTTTACACGGCGTTTCAAAGGCAGACCTGCAAGCCTTGCCAGGAAGAGAAAGAACTTGGGGGCGGGGGAGGCGCGGGCGCCGCATTTCCGTCCAGCTACGCTCGCTCGGTGCAGCCCCAGAGCGGCGGGCTCGCGCGGCCGTGTTTCATTAGAGCCCCGGACACGGGCCCCTCGCCAGTAACTTCCCCGCAAGGAGCGAGATTTACGATCCCCCAGCCCCACCCCCCGCGCCCCGGCCCTCGGCCTCGCACTGTCAGGCAGGAGAGCGCCGCAGCATAAAATGGATCCCGGCCGGCGCGGCG